CACTTAATGTTGGACAGTGACATCATCTGCTGCATAACATTAATAAAACGTGGACATTTTCTGTGCCCGTAACTCACTCCAAGCAAAGCTAATGCCAGTGGGTTTAACCAATTTGTGAGCTATCATTGTCTTCCTTATTGAAACACAGTTGTCTCCTCCCACCCCTATTTCTACACACTAAGGACTTGCCAGGCTGTGGAAATTCTGAGAATGTCTGCAGGTGGTGTAATAAGGTAGAGCCACAAAGGCCACCCTTCTCTTTCTAGCAGGAGGGCATTTATGGCTGTTGAACGCGGTAGTCAGGTTCATAATGCTTTCTCTGTAATTACTCATTGTTACCACAGGCCAGCTCCAGTATTTGTGTGTGTGTGTGTGTGTGTGTGCGCGCGCGCGTGTGTGTGTGTTTAAATTAGGTCAGTGCATGTTTCATTTAGTTCCCAAGCCAGAATGTTTGCCAACCTAGGCATTAACACTTTTATTCTGCTTTCCAGAATGTGCAGAGGTTACAGACGCCATCTGCATGGTCCACTGTTCTGCATGCTTATCTTTTAGCCTTCCAGTTGCAAAACATTTCCCCCACTGTGTGCTTTCTCTCCAAGCAGCATTCACAGGGTTAGGTGGATCTCTAAGACTAGGTCTCTGGAGAGACAGTACCATGCATCATCTTTTGGCACCATCTAATCTTTGATGTAATGCTGTTCAGAGAAAATGATCCTTGTAGCTCATTTATGGTTTCAGTTTACATTCTGCCCTCTCACATGACCAGTAACACCTGGGAGCAGAGTGGCTTTTGAGGGAGATTCTCAATAGTGCCACTTCAAAGGGCATTTGCGGAGATGAAGTGAGTGTAATGCACATAAATTCTCCTTGAATTACTGTACTAGGTTTTACAACCTCCTGGCCAATTAGGCAGAAGAGAACATGTACACATGCAGACACACACTATTTAATTGGAAGAAAGATTATGAATTATACCCCTTTATTTCGCAAAAAACTAATTATACAGGTTGGACACCTGCTGCCCTCGTCCACTTTCCTAATTGTAGGAGGTGGGCACCCATCCTTGTTAAGTCATAAAAGTCTGTGTGCGCATTCTTTAAACACATAAGACCCCACCAAGGATGAAGAATAATACTACAGTTATGGTCATTAACAAGCAGGCCATGCACCATATCTTCATGGCAGCTTTCTGAGAAGGTATGTTAACTAATGAAGTAAGTAGCATTTATGTATGTGACTCTGAATAAAGATATGACCTGACAGCCACCAGATGCCCTCCCAGATCTTCTCACTGCCACCACCGTTTCCTCTGTTGCCAGCACTACTGGATATTATACTCATGTTGGTTTTGTGTTATTTAGTCTGTTGATACATGTTGCAGCAGCTATTACATTTGACATAACCTATACATTTCTTTCTTTTTCTGTTGTTGTCGCACTTAAGGCACGTATTAGTTTGCTTGGTTGCCATAACAAAGTACCACAGACTGGGCAGCTTAAACGGCAGAAACAGAAACATGTTTTATCACAATTCTGGTCTAAGACCAAGATGTCAGCAGGGTGGGTTTTTTATGAGTCCTCTCCCCTCAGTTAATTGGTTGCCATAACAAAGTACCACAGACTGGGCAGCTTAAACGGCAGAAACAGAAACATGTTTTATCACAATACTGGTCTAAGACCAAGATGTCAGCAGGGTGGGTTTTTTATGAGTCCTCTCCCCTCAGTTAATAGATGGCTGTCTTCTCGTGTTTTCACGTGGTCTTCCCTGTGTGTTTGTGTGTGTGTGTGTCCTAATCTCTTCTTAGAAGGACACCAGTCATATCAGATTAGGGCCCACCTTTATGTCCTCATTTTAACTTAATTACCACTTTAAAGATTTATCTCCAAATACAGTCACATTTTGAGGGACTGGGGGTTAGGACTTCAGCATATGAATTTTGAAGGGACACAAGTCAGCCCGTAACACATGCTTTTAAAACTATCTTTTTGTGGGTTGGTCACCTCACCATCCCCCACTCCCAGGCTTGAGGTTAGAAGGCAGGAACTCTAATTCTCTTGCAGTTCCTAGAACTTAACACAGAGCCCAGCACCTTGTAGCTGTTTCATAAACTCTTGGCGAATGAGTGCATGAAGGTTGGTAAGAAATTTGAAGTTAAAAAGAGTCACTGTGTCCCTGTCTGCCATATTAGAAGATGTTCAGATGAGAAGCTGAGGCAGAGAAAATACAGGACACACAAACTGTTGCATGTGGACCCCCCATTCTCCATGTCCAGCACTGAGAATGAAATGAGAGTTGAGGGCCTGTGGGGTCCCTCGGGTCAGGTTTGAGTCACTTGAGAGCAAGGGTAATGAATGTCAATAGGTATCTTTTCTTAAGCCCTTCATTTTAGAGTCTCAAAACACTACAGGTACAAGAAAGAACAAGGCTGTAATTTAGATAGTATTTATTTCCAATAATCTATTACGTTTTCCCAAAGTCAACTGTGCAAAAAAAGAAAAAAGAAAGTTGACGTTTTCCCTTCAGAGATTATGTCCAGGGATATGCTGAGTGCTTAGAGACTAGCCACACAGGATTTAAGACTGTGACTGAGATGACTCCTCTGTCTCTGCCATTTTGGGCTTAAGGATCTGACTTTGAAAAAGATTGGAAGAATTTATTGCAAGGCCAAAGTGACATTTATTTTTCCTAAAGTATACAATGATTACTTTATGGTCCAAACACTGAGAAATGCTTAATTAGAAATGCCTTTGGTCAATTTGTGACTAAATTAATATCTCAAAAGTACAAATGTGAAGTAAGAGAAAAAGTTCCCTTAGTCGTGGGTTTTTTATCAGATACTCATTTTTTTGAGCTCTTTGGCAACAATCGTTGACTTTTTCCTAACAAAAGGAGAGTTCTTAGAAAAACAAATTGTTAGAATAAGTGTAATAATTTCTGAGAGGCAAGCTATTTTCTCCTACAAATTAGATTTGGGTGGCTTTAGTATTGATGCTTTGAATCTAGAAGTTAAATGCTAAAGCAAAGTCATATTGTTAAAATGGAATATCCCAGAAAAGCACAAGAACACAGAAATGACAACACTTACTTGATTTTGCAATTGTACTTAAAGCATGCTTTTTAAAGTGGCAATGTAGAAATGTAATCATTTTATATCCATTTATGTTAATTGGAATTTACAGTTGATCCCAATTTGGGGTCTCTTAAAGTTAATACCAAAGTGGGATATTGTGTGCTGTGACTTTGTTTTATGCCTTGAAAACATCTTGTGTATTTTAGATTATGATTTTGTTTTCTTCACCTATTCCTGGCTAAAGGGAATGTTAGGAGTAGCTGCTTGTTCCAAACAAGGCAGATGGTGGGTTCTTCCAGAAGGAGCTGGGCAGAGGAGGGGAAATCTGTGGAAGAGGAAAGTGGTTGGGGTTGGGGGAACTGCATGGCTCAGAAAGCTGACCCGGTGCAAAGTGAGAAAGTAGATCCAATTCTTGCAGGATGAGCTGTCAAGTATTTAAGACCCACATGTGGGTGGGTGGCTGTGGTCTAGTGTAATTCTGAGGCAGAGGTGGTTGGCGATGTGAACTCTGGGGTAATTCAAGGGCAGCAGAATAGTGGAAAGAACTGAAGTTTAGGATCTGGTAACCCAGTTTGAGTTCAATCCTACCCTATACTGACTGTGTGACTTTGGGCAAGTCTGCTGACCTTTTTGAGTTTCAGTTTCCTCGTCTGTGTAGTGAGAATAAGACCTATTCACAGGCATATGATCTGGATAAATTAGCAAAATTGCTTTGTAAGCTGGGATGTGCTATACATCTTACTAGCATGGAGAAAATAGTTAGATTATCCCAAAGAATGAACACGATTAAGCATTCACATATCCTACCTCAAATGGCTTGATTGGGACATACAAAACACTACATTTAGGTCTATGATCAGGCTACCTGAACCAGTGCTTCCAAAACCAAACATGACATCTAAGTCTATTTTTTAATCTATTAATGAGCTGTAATTTTTAATTATTATTTATTAAATGTGAGGCATATTTATAGAATTTGGAGAATCAGGTCTGGAGGGAAACTTATCTAATTTTAAACCCTCCCTTCAAGCAGGGCTGTATCAAATATGAATTAGTCCTGGCAGATGGTTGGTGGATTCTGTTTCTAAATTTTTTAAAGAACATTTCACAGTTTTCCTCTTTAAATTCTTTTAGTAATTAACAATTCTCATGCTGAGTTCTTCCTTATAGCTGACCTAAATCTGTAGTTGTAATTTTAAGTCCTTTCCCCCACACCCGTCTTTACTGGAGATGGAGAACAGCTGGTCAGCAGCCTTATGCTAATACCCTGTGGATATTTAAAGAAGAGTTACTCAGTTCGACTCCCTCTCTGCCTCCTCCCGCCCCCGGGATTCATCAGCTAGTATTCTGTGAATCATTCATGGCTGCCTGTCTCCCTGCCCCTCTCACATGCGGGGCTGCATCAGGCAGCTGGGAGAGTGTGGTATTAGTGGCCACACAGACCTGGAGACAATCCGGGCTACTTCCTCCTTTTTTCTTTTACTTGGTGCATAATCTCTAGCCTTCTAATGAATTACCAGAATAATCCCTAACAGTGTTTGATGGGTGCATAACACATGTATCTCATAAACATGCAGTTTTGCAAGGACACTTATCATAAGTTGCTTTGAAAGTTAGGCCTCCCTGGTGACTTGTACTCAGCCAGCCAGGCCATTAAGCTGCTACTTTGCCTGCTGAAGATCACATGATTGATATCTCTGTTCTATTGGACTTAATCTTGGGAGACATTGAGCTAAAACTCTCCTGAGAGCAGTGTATATTCAGAAGTACACTAACAGCCTGAAAGAGTTAATGGGTTTCCCCAGTGCTCCAAGTTGCCATGGGGAAGTAAGTGACCTTGAGGAGAATTGAGCTCATTAAGCTAATCCCATGTGGTGTCAGAGTGGGTCCTGTTTTTAATCTGAATGTATGTGCTTTTATGTCTCTATAGGTTTATTACCCAGATCTCTCTGTCTGGGTCAGTCAAGAGCCATTTCCAAACAAGGAAATGGAGGGGAGGCTTCCTAAGGTAAGATCCCTTGCTGCCATTTTGTTAACACTGTTTTCAATTTAAAAATCAGAGTTATTTCTTTTTCATTTTAATATCCATTATAGACTACTATAATAATCCATTAATCTGAATCTGTGATGACCTTGGAAATAACCTGTGTCTTAAAAAGAATTTCCTAAAGTCCTATGACTCAAAGTTCACATTGACTTCCTTTCTTCATCTAAGAGTCATGGAATCAATTAAATATACATTTTATAGGCCTTAAATTTGTTCCATTCCTGGTTAGACAAACTCAAATATTATGTCCAAACTAAAAGATCTCTTAAAAGTTTGAGATGATGACATTTTTGTCTAATAATGTCTGAATATCTGATAAGATTACCCATGATACAAAACAGGAAGAACGTAAAAAAAAATTATGTTTCTTTCTCCTAATTTTTAGGCCTAAAAAATATTTTGTATAAATATGGTTTCATTGTTCTAACATTTTAGGTGTGACATTTCTCCTCCACCTCAAGAAAATTTGTAAAATTTATAGTTTAGATTTTAGCACAATTTCACAAACAAATCAATAAAACATTTACTAGTTTTTACTGTAGATACCTTTGGACTTTGCCTGTGATAGGGTAAATATCGATTTGATCTCAAGCAAGAGGATTGTACTTTTTACCACTGACCTGCAGATTTTGCAGTTAATAAAGAAAAGTAGAGTCCATCAAAAATAACATTTTGATTTGAAAATTTCATGAGTGTAATTGACCAATGGTGAGGCCTCCCCCAGCTGTTGCTGGTATTTCAGTGTTTAAGAAACTCTTTTATTTATGCTAAGTGGTTTCAACAGTTCCCTATCTTATACTGACAGGCAGAAGTTGAAGAGGTTGTATCAACTGGCAGTTTGCACTGAAAGAAAACAATCCTAAATCACTTCTAATCTTTCAGAGAATTTCTAAAGGTCAAGGTTGAAATCATTGGCAGGAAAGTAGGTGAACAAAATGGTTTGGCCCTGCCTGAGCTAGACTTGCACTGATCTTGTAGAGCTAGAGTGGAAGAGAGCTAAAATGCTAGAGCTTTATTTAAATAAAATACATGCACTCCCCACCATCTCCCCCCCCCC